CTCAGGCTTAAAAAATAAGTGAATCAATAGTTGACGTTGTGGATGAGGTCTCCCATTGATTGGAACCTAGGGATCGTAAATGTATGTTTATCAAGCAATGTAAAATCTAGCCAATCTATTTTTCCTTAAAACATGGCTATATTTGCTTAGGTTTGATAGTGCAGACTTCTCCTCAAAGCCTAGTCTAATCTTTTACCAACACTGTTTTCCTCGAGCACCGTACTCGTAGAGCACCTATTTATAAAGGTGATGTTCTGATCTCTGACAAGTATTATTATTAATGCTATCCAAATTTTAATCACTTTATCTCACACATATTTGGGAGTGCATACTGTGTGCTGTCTTCTTAAAAAGCATACAGGCCGTATTTTAGTACACTATTTACTAGCCGTAGTAAGCATGATTACTAAAATTAGGCACATACCTATCGCAGCAGCATTTTAGTCGAACCCGACGGATAGAGTTGAGTGGATGGAAACCAAGGCAAGCTCTGCTGTGCCCAGAACGTGTACTTACTCGGAATAGTTGAGACCAAGATTCGCACTGCTTGCAGAGATCAAGGGGCTGGCGCCCTAGCGTTGGCTAACTCAGCGTCACCTTGAACAATTGGTAGCGCCAGTGCTAGCACCAGTTCTGCTACAATCCATGTTGAGATTGAGGGGATATGAGCCCAGTGCTGACTTTAATCAGCGTCATTTCTGACTTACAACACAGCTAGTAATGGTACCAGCAAATACTCTCACTCAGCTACGCCCTAGTTAGTAGTATAAGAAATAACAGTATTGATAGTATTAGTAGTTGTACCAGCCCTGGCTTCCGAGAGTCTGGCTAGACACCTACTATAGGTGAGTTAGGGTAGACAGTGCAATAGTACCCTCGCAAAGTCTACTGTCACTAAAGGCTAAGTTTAGGCGGTGTTTCGGGCTGCATTGGAGAAAGTGGCTTCCGCCGGTCATCGGTCATCTCGACTTCGGTGTTGTCGATGATTCAATGCGGTAGAGGGTTTGAGTAAGGTAGCCAGTTGCACGTCTAATTCACTATAATCGCGCTCGATTTACCGTCTCTGCTCTTGAGCACATGGTAGACTTAATCGAAATCGATGGTCATACAACGCGCATCAGCAAATACTTAAATGAGTTAAATTGTGATGACGCCATTTTTGCTGAAGTGTCACCCGGATTGCACTTAACGAAATGCGTTTGGTGATAAGCCGAGCAATGGTCAAAAGAATAAAATTTGCCCCTTAACTTGAACCAGTACGAAATTCCACGTTTCGGTGCAACTGGATATCCATACCGCACAGACAGTTATCTAAAGGTGCAAAATGAAAAGTAAGCGTCAAGGAAAACGTATATAAATGATTATATCATTTTAACGCCGTAGCGCTGTTAAAATGTAAGCGAGTCTGTAATATCGTGTATTTACATTATCAAGCAGGTTTATCCTACCGTCAAAGGTTTTCGATAGTTTTTGTGGACATTATTAGAGTTCCTCATCCATGCATAGACTCTGGAAGGGAGGGAATAGGGTGCACATAGCCAACACGAACATTGAGAAGACACAGGATAGTAAACGAAGTCAGCGATCCCTACACAAAATCAGTGGGGTTAGCCCGGAAGGGTAACTAAAAGCTTCGTTATCTATGTCGGAGAACGGCAGTGAGAACACACGACGATTAATATTGCTGCTCACCTAGTTTAAGTTAATGGCCCCACTCTATTAATTATAAACGTCAGGAACTGCAGCATTGCGTTAACTTGCGATGTTGCTTTGTTTGCTGATGGGTTTAGGTTTTGGAGTGCCATTCACAATCAAGCTGAAAAGCATGTGTAGACAAGATTAAGCCAACCCAAAGTATATTTGTATTTCAGACTCATGCCGTCCAATGTGAACGAGGGCATCGTTCGGCCATTCGGCTAAACCACGTCTTAGAACAACTCCGTCTACTGTTTGAATGGCATTGTTGGTGGCGTGCCTCGGACCAGACGCAAACGTTCGCACATTGCCTCCCCCGTGCTGGGCTCAAACCACAGTTGCTTGACCCCAATCCGTCCGATGGGATTCCCGCGTTAGTAGACTAGCCTCATTTAGTAGGTTGGGCTCAATCCGTCTGGACACAGATATCAAAGCGGTGTCTGCCCCCAGACATCACTTTGGATACTGGCTCGCTCGGGTGTGGACCTGCACTCGTCCGAGTTAAACGTCCGCCTAAATATTCTCCAGCAATTCTGTACAGAATACAGTCTTCCTACCATTCTGCTCTTCCTATGACCTCTCACTTCTCCTAAGGAACCGGGCCTGGAAGCTCGCAGCCGTTAGGGCTAACCTTCTTAGCCTTAACGCTACCTCGATAACAAATTGCAAGGATTGGATGCCCAGAGGGACACGGGGTGTCTGGAACGGGACCTCATTAAAATCATCGCTGCACCGCTCCAAGTTATCCAAATCATCGTTGAAGTCTTTCCAAAATTTGTGCGACCAGAACTGGATATCTCCATTCAAGTCACGAGACCTTTAACAGTTAGAGTCGTACCACTTTCGAGAACCATCAAGAGGGTGCAGCAAAACAGATCAAGATAAGGTCTTATTACCCAACGAGCTAGTCAAGTTACTTTAAAACTTTTGAGCATTTTATTAGTAAGTGCGCATCAAAATACTTATGAGCCACCTAATTTTAGAGAAGGAAAAAA